ATCAATATGATCATTTTCAAAGTTACTCCGTTTATGCCTTTGTCCCCACTGAAGCACAAATTACAAAGTTTTGGGAACAATGGAAAATAGAAACGAGTGAATAAATGTGTCACAGGAGAATTCTGATTTTACATTAGGACTGTGTTAAACTAATTTTAATTAAGCTCAAGCCCTGAACAAGTCGCGGGGGCAACATATGAGAGCTAGCAACTTGTCCAGGGTGTCCCCTGCCTTCGCCCCAAGATGCTGAGATAGGCTCCAGCCGCTCCTTGACCCCCAATGGGATAAGCAGTAGAAAATGGATGGACAAAATCAATATGAGCTCAAAAAAGCTCAAAAAGAAGAAAATGTTAGAAGTCCTAATTGACAATATGCAAACTGCGAAGAAAGCACCACACAGAGCCTTAAGTCATTGCCATAGACTGTATATAGAACGGACGCCGTCTGCCCCCTCACTGGGTGAAGCTACTCCGAGAACAGCACCATTTGGTGGTGGGCTGCAGTATCTGTCAGAAATCCCGCCTCCGAGTTGTGGACAAACTTTAGAAATTAATTACACAGAATATAAATTTTCCTCCCTCCTGCTTGGGATGTTGACATGTAGTTACTCCAAGACTGATTTGTACTCAAGTCCTCTTTTTTCTGTACAGCTCCATTTTTAAAAGTTATTAGGGGGTTCATGTTTTCTATGATTGACACTTGATACAGCCTATGGTCTGTTGAGCCGAGCGTCATCACAGCGACTCTCACGCCGAATGCGTACAATGCCACTGCGCAAGGTTGGTGTCAGGAAATGGAGAGAAATGCAGAATTATCGAGAGCTTTTTTGCTTCAAATCTGTATACTGATGAAACCAAATTGTCCATAGTATATAGTCTATGGTCACAGCCAACAGCCAAAAAAGTTGATTGTAAGATCTGTCGCATTTATGATCAGGTATCTAGCTAGTCATAGTCTAGGATTCTGGGGTGTAAAATCAAATGTCAAGGAGGAGGGGTGGGACACCTGTAGAGAAACTCTGAATCTGCCCCTGACACCAGCATCACCCTCTCTTTTAGCAGCACCGGGACCTCCTCTTTCTTACTGAGTCTTTCTGTCTTTTGTGTCCTGATCTTTGAGACTCCAAATCACACAACTTACAATCTGAAGGTTTCACCTCACAGCAGGTGATCAGTGTGTGGACGATCACCTGTTGTGATACCAAAACTGAGAGCAACAGAAACCAGCTGCACAAAACAACACTTTGACAAGGTTTACATTTAACATGAGGGGTTGGTCTTAGTCTTTGGTCTACATAAAAAGGAAGAATCTGTAATGTTTCTGTCTGTCTGTCCGTCTCTCAGATCACCTGCAGTTCAAATGCTATTCACGTCATATAGGGTGGTAAAAGCTCTCTTATTGATCGCTCCCTAATAGCCGACACATTCAGATGAAAAATGACCGCAAATTGTCTGTGATTATGCTTAAGTGGCCCAGTTATACAATCCATGTGTGAGGAGCGCTTTGTCGTTATGGCAGCAGGTGATGTGATGTGGACGCTCTTGCACCAAGAGCAGAAGATTAGGCGTGAAAAAAGGGAGCAATATTGAGCTTGTGATATCATTGAAACAAAATACAAATGAGTCTAGGAGTCCCAAAACTCGAGCCCGAGTCAAGTGTGAAGTCTCTGAGGGTCAGGTCTGAGTCAAGTCTGAAGTCACTTTAGTGTGCAACTTAAGAGCAGCTCAAGTCCTGATTCACTCCTCCACACATGCTCCCCGATATCTTCCATGATCACCAGCTGTCCTCTTCACATGGTCATATCTTATCCAATCACACTGCTGCTGTCTATTTTAGAAATGATCTCCATCTCCTCATCCCCGCCCAATCCCACTGTTTCATCATGATCATCAGCCCAGTTGCCCTAGATGATCTCGTCACTTATCTTCCCATCATCACCTTGTCTTTGCAGTTCTTCAGCTTCATCATCTCAATAGCCTCAGAAATAATCAGCCATCACCCCACCACAAGTGTCTGGACTCCACAGGGGGGATTCATTTGGCCGTAGCTCAGAGCAGACACTCTTACGCAACCAGGGAATCTTCATGCTGATTGGCTATCGCAGCCCGAGTGCTTTACATGATTTCAGATCTTTCAACTGGAAACAGACATTTATTTCTGAAAACTAGGTTCTGTGTTTACAGTTCAGAGAAAGGGCGACACGAAATGTGTCTTAGCAATTGTGAAAAACTGTCATAAGCTGCTCTAGCGTCCCCTGCTCTCATGGAGACGCTGGCGGAGACATTTCTATATTACCATGAACACACAGACAAACACTCAGCTGTTCATTTGGACTTAAACATGCACACAAACACACACGCACGCACACACACTGGGCTCCTCTTCCACAAAAATCCACCATGCAGAGCACCAAATGTGGATTAATCTGAATGTCTCCTTTTAATTAGGTAAAAAAACTACACTGACCAGCTGTTCTAGGAGATCCGTACACTTTTTTAAGAGTGAAACTATAAATTCATGTTGAGTGTGGTACTTATTTTTTTATGTTCTGTATTCTGGACTATCCTTTTTCTGTTATTCAAAGATTTTTTTTTCTTCTGTTTTTCAAACTAATATTTATTTTATAGTAAATATAGTACTTTTAAAAAAAAAGTTTTTCAGACTATTTTATTCTGATTTTCAGAGTTTGTTTTTCTGTTGTTCAGACTATTTTTTTCTGTTTGTCAAAGTAACTTCTTTTTCTGTTTTTTTTGGACTGATTTTTTCTGTTCAGAGTTTTTTTTTCTGTTTTTGGACTCATTTATTTCAGTTTTTCAGAGTATTTTTTTCTGCTTTTCAGATTTTTTTTTTCTGTTTGTCAAAGTATTTTTCTGTTTTTTTTTTGGACTAATTTTTTCTGTTCGGCAGAGTTTTTTTTTCTGTTTTTGGACTAATTTATTTCAGTTTTTCAGAGTAATTTTTTCTGTTTTTCTGACGATTTTTTTCTGATTATCATTTTTTTTATCTGTTTCTCAGACTAATATTTTTTCTGTGTTTCAGACTATTGTTTTCTGTTTTTGGGACTAAATTTTTTTCAGTTTTTCAGAGTAATTTTTTGATTATTTTTTCTGCTTTTAGACTGTTTTTGTTATTTTGTTTTGTTTTTCAGACTAAATGTTTTTATTATATATATTTTTTTTATTCTCTGGGATCATGATTATTTTCATCCCCCTCTGCTTTATTTATTGGAAGCAAACATGGCCCACTTGTTTAGTTTAATCAAGTTTTACTTTCTTTTTGATTTGAGACACTGGGGAGATACTCCTTTCTTTAAGTCAGAGAGATGGAGTCGTCATAAGTTTGTCTATTTTGCGCAAGCACCTCAGGATTTGCAGACCCTATGTTTACCTAACTAAACATATGCCTTACTCTCATTGACCCAGTTGTCAAAGTTATCGAGGAGCTGGAGAATCCGCTGATTTGGAGCAGCTGTGGTGAATAATGTTTTCTGGTCAGGGGGAAAAAAAAGTCCCAAAACAGAAAGATAAAAAAAAACAATGTTACAAAAAAAAGAGAAAATCAACATTAGAGAGGGGAAGAAAAAATTTATACAGAAGACAGGAGAAAAAAAGTCTGAGAAACAAAAAGAACAAAAAAATTATTCCAAAAAAAAGCAAAGAAAAAAAAAAACACAACCTCAGAAAACAGTTTCCTTTTTTTTTTTTTTTTTTTTTTTGGGAAGTGAATGCAATTTGCTTCCCAAGTTATCAAGCCTTTTTAAAAAGAACCTGTAATTGCACACCTGTCCAGTATTTACACAGGGGTGTGCCCAGACTTTTTGGCCCACTGCAGATACAGACTCATCCAAAAGTACCAAAAACTATATCTGCACACATAAATTGATATAATTAATTCACCCTTTCTGCCGCTGACTATCCTTTCTAGGACTAAAGGAACTTTTTCATACTTCTACAAGAACTTTTAACTATTTTAGTTCCTCAAATCCTGTAAAGAGGAACCATTTTTAGCTCCTGGTGTATGGTAGTTAGTCTCCCAGCATGAGCGAGACGTTGAGTGAATGTGGATGTGGATTTTGCTCTCACTCACTTCAGTCACTCAGTCTTCAAGTGAGAGAAACATGAATAATGGATGCAAGCGAAACCTTTTTCAATGTTAATACGGAAACCTGCCTTTTGATTAAAGAAAATCTGAAACTAAAATAAAAGAAAAGGCTTTTGGAGTGATAGGAATAAAAAAAAAAACAGACTCGAAAAATGTGGAAAAGTTGAATAATTTTTAGTTTCTGCTGGTTTAACAAACGAATTTCCTCAGCATATATGAGGGAAGTAGCTGACTGTCAGCCATATGTAATTGTACGTTCTGACAGGCACACGGTTCAGTATCGATCCTATGTGGTCAATATCAGGGCTTACTGTCGAGTCCTTCTTTACATTTAAAAGCTTTTCCACTGTGAGACACGTTGTGAGTCCAGCTGTGGCTCAAAGTGAAAAATACAATCTGTGTAAGAAAATACCAACCTTCTGGTCCCACCTGTTATTTTCTTTGTCATGGGTTTCTGAAAACCCTGAATTCTGTTGTCTGAAGGTGTTGAGGTGTTTGACGGTCTAAGGACTTAATGCTATGATTTTCCTCCATTTATCCCTTCCTGCTTCTGCTGCTCTGAGTAACAAAGGCTGGGCAGGAGGCAGAGAGCGATGGGCAATCAATACCGTACACAGCCTGATTTTTCAAGTGCCACTTTCCCACATCAGAGATGAACATCCCCGCAGACTTCCCCTATCCCCTGTGACCCAGATGCTTTTACCCATCAAGGCTCATCCGGTGTCTCTTTCCCTCGAACTGAGCCTGCTCGGTGTAAAGCTGCTTCTTTTAAGAAGGGGCCTTTCAAAGGTTACTTTCTCCTGGAAACACACACACAGAATAACACATTCTGTTTCATCTCCAGATACAATTGTTATGCAGCCAACAATGGACTCTGTGCTGCCGGTTCGAAGATGGAAATTGCTGCTTGGGACTCGGTTCACTTTTTAAATCTGTTTCCTCTATGAGCTCACTGTCAGATTGATTCTCTTGTATTGCTGTTTGGATCATTGGTTGTCAGATATTGTCCGATCATGACCCTCAAACACATTAATGGTCTTGTGGCGTTTAGAAAATCAATCAGGAGATTCTAGTGAATCTAACGCAGAAACCTCAGACTCTTGGTGTTCAAACGCAGGTAGAAAGCACTTCAATCATGTTTTACCTTTTAAGAGTGAATACCCAGAGCTCTAACAGAGGAAGGGTGTTAATTCTGTTAATGAAAACTGTGATTTTATACAACTCTGGCAAAGACAAGATGTAAATGAGCTAAGACACATCAACGATAAAAAGTCAGGTTGAATACAGGTTTTGTTTTCATTCACAAGATTAAATTATTTTAGGTGCCAGACGTTTAAAATCCTGTTGATTTAATCCGTCACATAAAATACAAGCAATGCACAAGAGTTACTCAAAATCAGACACTTCCTCACACTAAGAAATACCGCTGGAAATCATGCACACAGATATATATATAAAAAAGGCAGCACTGTATCCTTTACAGACAAAAAAAAAAAAAATTAAATACAAAGTAACAGCCTTTCTTTCTTTTTTTAAAAAATATAAATCACATTCATTAGGTCCTATACAAGACTGTCAGCTTATTCCAGGCTATAAATAACTAAAGGAGTTGCTCTGGTTTGTCTGACTCATATTACACAGGGATGTATGACATAGGCTCAATCAATCTGTATAACGTATGTCTATGTCATATGGGGTGGCGAGAGATGAGCAAGTGCTGTTTGCGGGGCACGATATATGTATATATTTTTTTGTAGGATGGTAGGGAAAAGTCCCGCCTCCTTCGCCTCTGATTGGCTAGAAAAGCTGAAAACGTCATCACAGGCTCAAGCCAAACACGGGTTCTCGGCTCTGTACATCGAACAGAACATTACAGAACATTATCGCACTTCTGAATCTCCTAACCCTAACACTTACCCTAATGCTAACTCTAACCCTTACCCTAACCCTAGCCCTAACCTGACAGACGATGTTTCACAGCCATAAGGAATAACCAATCGGAGCCCATCACTTCTGGCCAATCAGAGAAGAAGGAGGGTGAGACCTTCCCGACCATCCTACAAAAAAAAAAAAAGAAAATCGCTTTCGGGGTTGGGAGAGTTAAGCTAGCATCCACAAGAGTATGAACGGCGTCCGCATCACTACTTACCGTCTTTTTGAAGAATGCAGATATTTTCACTTGGGTGCTGAACTTGGATGTTCGGGGACAGCTTGGTGCTCTATGGCCAGTTTTTTTATTGTTTTGTTGGCGACAAACAGGATGGAAATGCGCCAGAACCACGGGTTGTCAAAACCATCCGGTGCAAAACTTGCAGGGTATGAGTGATGAGCGCTCACGACCAGAAAAACAGAATCAGTAGTGCTGACATGCCGCACCTCTGAACTACACGGCGCTGCAAGTCAGATCGGGTGTATGTTGTGAGGTAAAGAGAGGAGCGAGCGGAGAGGGAGCTGGGAGAGAAAGGAAATTTAAACATATTTTTTTATCTACGACTTCAATTTCTGGGTTGAGATCTTATCAAAATAATGTTGACTGACTTTCTGTAACAACAGGTGTTTTTAGGTCATCCAGAAATTATGTTGTTGTCTTGATCATAAATGCTCCACCACCATTACTGACATTCGTGAATTTGGTTGTTTTCTGCACCATAGGAAGGTGAATATACCCACTTGCTCTCCACAATCACCTGCTCATCTTGTGTCTTCGCAACAGTTACAGTTATACGTGTATATAGAATACAGTCCTACAAGTCAGACATTTCTGAATTTCTGAGACATTTTCACTGCCAAAAATTTGTTGCCTTTGCTATTAAAAGTTTGAAAAGTTCCCTAAATCTTCTTTAATTTCAATCCAGATACCAGAGGGCAGGCAGATGTTAGGATCCACTCCAACATGATCAAGTGGGAACCCTTGCTGGAAATGAAGCAATTAATATCATGATCTGTGTAAACTCTTGGAAACATGCAGTCATGCCTCCCAGGCTGCTCAAACAGCATGACACCGGATACTGCAGCAGAGAGGAGTTCGTAGGATGCGGACCGAATCTGTTTTAGGGGTTAACACATTGTACTCAAATCGCAATGGGAATGGAATATATCCCCTTGATGCCAGCTGATTTATTTCGATGGTGGAGTGTCACCATGTAGTCAACACTGTTTCCAAAATATCAAACATGTCTGCAGCTCATTCATAATAAACATGCTTGTACAGGTTTTTTTGTATAAGCCGTAGTTTTCAACTGTTTTATAGCTCTAATCGTTTAGCTGATCTCATCCTGTGTCACATGAACTGTTTTTTTTCCTATAACATATATCATCTTTTCATCACCTCTTTTAACAGCCGGGCTTATCACTCACTGAGAATATCTGCAGTGGAAAAAGTAAAAAAAGAAAAAGGTCAAATGTCTGGTCCAACACCCACACCTTGCAGGGGTTGCAGGCATTCATAGCCACAGTAAAAAAATAGTCCATCTCCTTGTTGATAGTCTCGTTTGCTTCTGTAGGTCATCACAGTTAATTCTATAACCAGTCAGAACTCCTCTCAGGAGCTGAGGACACTTTGCAAACATGTAATAATCTCAGTTTTTAAATTTTTTTTTGTTCAAGGATGAGCCAAATGTTTTCAAGTCAGACAGAGCCATCCCAAGCCTCAATGGGGCCCTAAGCAAAATTTGATTTCAGGGCCCTTTATTTCTGCCAATAATATTGATTGTTGATCATTCACACACCTTAACAACTCTCTTTGATTTACATTCCATGACATGCAAACATACTTTTATCTTGGCATTTTTTCTCTTCCTCCTCTTTATGGACATGTCCTTTTTTGTTTTGCCCCACAACTACCTGCTCTTTGGATGCTCAGTGCACATTGCACAGCAGAAGGCACATATCGGTAGTGGAGCTTTGACATACCGGCAGTAAGAATCATAGGCCTACATCAGCAGCAGCACTATAATGCTTTTACTTTATTTTATTTTTACATTAATATATATTTGATAATACAGAATGCATCACTCACACATGCAAAAATTGAAAAATATTACATTTTTTATATTACTTTTTTGATTGCTCTTGGGGGACCCCTATTGGTCGCAGGGTCCTAAGGATGCACAAAGTTCGCTTATGCCTTGGGAAGTCAGGACTGCAGGCAGGCTAGTTTAGCACCTCTTCTACTACTGATCCACGTGTTTGTTGTGCGGCATCAACTGGGCCTTCCCAGAAGTGTAAACTGCCCTTGAAGATTATCCATGTAATTGTATGTATTCGAAGATAATGAGTTGAAATTGGTCACAAAGTTTGAATCTGTAGGTCTGACATTGAAAAAACTTTAAACCAGCATTTGGAACTTTTTTTCAATTTGAGTTACTGAAAAAGAGAACTGAAAAAATATATCTTGCATGAAAAGCTTTCATTACTTTAATCTGAGCATATTCATACTGCTTTGAGACTCGGCACAGAGGCACTTGAATGTCGGGATGAATTGTGTTTCATAGCAGCTACAACATGATCAGTCTGCACATTTCTTTGCATGTACTGCCAGCTTAAGACTTCTACAGGACATCAGTGTGTTAAACCCTTTCTTTAAATGTTCCCATACTGCTGCTGCTGCTGTAACAGGATTACTTGAAAATCTTTTACATCTTAAAGTCTGGCTGAGGAAATAGCAGAGGGTTTTAGGTGACACCAATTATCCCATGCTGGCTAATGAGGAAGCATGAATACTAAGAGGATGATGAGAAGTGAATTTTTAATGCTTATTGTGGCGCCACTGTTAAAGGACAGCTTAGGTTTGAGCGTACCACAGGATCAAACTGAGTATTAGACATTGCAAGATGCCAATATGTAACAGTCAAATCTCCAGGCAGGGTTTATGTGTTTCTGAAGAACAACAGCAGAAATAAAAAGTCTGGCTTTACAGCGACCGGGCTGCCATAATGTGCAGGTAAGGCTGAGCTTTTCAAGCCTGATCGATATTCTCCTGGTTCAGAGGCCAAATTTATGCAGATGAAAGACACTAATTATGCTCATGCCTGTGTGAGGAAGAATGACTGGGTTGCTAATGGGAAAATCAAAACACATTAAGGACAGCCAAATGATTTTATTTTTCTTCAATGACTTCAGCTTCTCAGGAACAGATGGAGAATAGAAAGCAGAGAAGGAGAGAGAGAGAGGGAGAGGGGGGGATTAGCTGCACAGAGGAGAGGAAAGAGAGAAAATGCAACATGTTGAATGATTTCATTTGGACTAATTATGATTAATTCAGAATGTATCTGTTCAAAGACGCACAGGTCTCATTAATATTCAGCTGAGGTGCTTGTTTGTCATGTTGCAGCTGTAAACAGACAGCTTTTCACCAACCCCGAGAGGATTCAATATGTCTGTCAAAGAGAGAAATTAAGTGATGCTGTCCAAGGGTTAAACCTGCGCGACCCTTACTTTAATTTGCATAATGTATTTGAGTCATCTCCAGGCTGAAATACCTTGACTTTAAATATGACATAATATTAGTGTCAGAATAAGTCAAGGATAATTATGTGGTTTAAATTTTATCATATGGATTCATGTTACATAAGATTCAGGTGACATCAGACCAAGTAAGCGGCAAAGTCCCTCACCCATTCATCTGTGTCTGCTGGTCTGGGTCCAGGTCAGGGATAAAAGCAGACTGATCAGCTAAGTCCTGATGGTTTTTTCACAGATTTTCACACTCTTCATTCTGGGGTATGCTTTAGATGGATGGTCAGGGGGGTCACCAAAGTCATTGTGGATCTCTCTTTGGAGTCCTTAAATTATGGTGGCCAACAAGTCCAGGCCGTCAGAAATATGCAGAATTATCGTCATTAGGAAAAACCACAAAGGTAGAGTGTGAATGAAAAAAAAAAAAAACACACAACCAAAAGCTCAAACAACTGCATGGACAGCAAATGTAATGTAAATACACAAATGATGCAAAGGTAAAATCATAGACTATATAGAATGGACCTCGTTTGCCTCCTTGCTGGGTGAAGACACTGCGAGAACAGCACCCTCTGGTGACGGGCTGCAGTATAGGTCATAAATCCCGCCTCCTCCAGCAATCGCTATACAGCTGTGAACAAACCATAGAAATGAATTACACAGAACATAAAATTTTCTCCCCCCTGGTAATGACATTGACATGTAGTTACTGTAAGACTGGTTTGTGCTTAAGTCCTCTTTTGTCCTCAAGTTGTTCATACAGTCTATGTTCACAACAAGTTTTGAAGATCACTTTTGACGAATTATCTTTTAAAGAGATGCTACAGCTAGTTTGCTAGCAGCTGCAGCTTGTCCTTCATCTAGCCTCTGTTCTGTGATATGGCAACCAGCATAAGAGACCATTTATGAATTAACACAAGCACAAGCCCTCATGTGTTTTCTTCTTCTATGTTATGTCAATCATGAAGCTACGTCACTCAGGCCTGGAGCAGTAACACCAAAAGTCAAAGTCTTTTTGGATTTGTCTGTTATCTTCATTTGCAGCGTGTTTCTCCCATTTAGGCTGCTGTTGATGGTCTGCCCTTGTTGATTGTCTAACCAGTACTTTTTTCACTCAGCAGACCCATCATCCAATGCAAACAGACAATTTGGAGTTAAACTTCACTTTGTTTTATTCTTGGTTTCTTCGCACCAATGAGACAAAGTATTGCTTCTCTTCCTTGAGTGGCTGGGCCTACGACTGGCTCTGTGTTCTGTCAGTATTAATCTGCATTACAGAGAGAAGTTGGTCTAATCTCTATTTAATCCAAATAACTATTCTTACTATTGAGCGACAGGACCAAATTAAAACAGATGGTTGTTTCTGAAGAGATGGTCTAAAAGCTCTTCACAGACAGTTTCTTGTCACCTAGAGGAAGAGAAGCTGACGGCTGTGAGTTAACTTTCTGATTTATTGCTGAGTTTACTGCTTCTTCTTGTTGTTATCCATGATGTGAAGTAAAGAACCCGGATTTAAGCCTGTTTTGTGAAGACATGTTTTGTTTTTGCAAAGGGCTTGAAATGAAAGGAATATAAAGAAGTTGATTTAAGCTGTTTTCTCTCAGATAACTCTCACTGGGTCACAGCATTTCCACATCCAAGCCTCGGTTTGAAAGGGTAACAGCATCAAACCGCCGACCTCTGAGGGTGACTGCTGGCTATTAATTCTTTAAATCAACTCTCTCGACCCAGTTCAAACTGAGCCTTTTAATTAAGCACTTGCTAGTTAAAACATTTCAGTCCTGCAAAGCAGAGAGAGCGTCCCTTAAAAAGAGATTACCTGATAACCATAAACCTCCATCCATCCATCCATCAGCAAATGATGGAGCCGTCGTTTAAAAATATCCACCTTGTCGAAAATACTCATCAGCTGAGTGCCGCTGATGGGAATTGTCTCATCTGCACGCAAACGTCTCTGTCATTTGATGTGAATATTTTATCACTTGTCAGTAATTAAAATTATGTGCTCTTTTTTAATTGTCATTTCTTATCTGTGCTTAATGGGACGTGTTTGGTTTTGCCACTTGATTTTTAAAACAGAAGTCCCTGCTTCAAATTACGACATTTGAGATATTAAAACTTTCTGATTAGACTCTTGAAGGCCGAGAAGACAGAGTTTGGATGAATTATCATGCTTTACCATGCTCTTTATTCCTCCTAGAAACATTCAAAGAGAGTCCAGGATCAATACTCTCTGCCCTTTTCACCTTGTCAATGGCTTTTATTCTCTAACGTTCACTTCAATCCTCAATTTTTGTGTTTGTGTTCCCCTTTGACTGCAGCGGCTGAAATGGACTTTTAAGTGGTCCGTAATAAACTTTGTCATCATGTGTGGGTTGCGCTCACTCCCTTACGAATCAATGAAATAGAAGTAGAGATGAGATGCAGAGTGGTGGGAAAAGGAGAGATGAAAAGTGGCGGTCCCTTCAGCTGAGATCATCAAAAGCAGTAATAGCATGACGTCAACCTCTCAATAAAAACGTAAACACATAAACTTAAAGACAACGTGACTGCATTTCTGATGATTTTATCCTTCAACTAAACAGTTTCTGTCTCAACTACGCTTTGAGTCACACGTGGTGACCATGGACTGTCTGCTAAATACCACATTAGCTCATTCCAGTTACTGGTTGGTGTTTTTGTGCAAATATATGGACCCATGCAGTTCATTCATCTTAGAACCAATCTGAGAAGTCTGTGCTCCAGTTTTTCATCGAGCAAAGTTAAGACTTTGATGTGTATCAGGTCAGTCACTGTCCATTTTTACCATTGCTGGCTTGTTTGCTCACACATAGGGCCATATTAACATAATTTAGATTCAGGATCTGATGGTGCAAATTGCTAAGGAATTTCATTTTGCTAGTTGAGCGGCGCACAATCTAAATGTGGCGCAAGAAGAAAGGTCAGATTAAGCCACATTTATTCTGATTTTTTCATGTTTGTCCCCCTAATTCAATGTTTTATAGTTATTATAGATTTTAATATTTGATTTTTCTTGCATTTTTTTTTTTGGTAAAACACTTTTTAACAATTGTTTAAAACAAAATGTGTTCCTAAGATTATTATGACCATTGTTGAAATCCAGGTGTACCAGGCAAGAGAGTTTTTATTTAAAAAGTAGATTCCAGCATTTCTACTATCCTTACATGGCCTTAAAAACAAGTTACCTAGTGAGTCATGCTGATGATGGGTCGATGAATCCCCTGAAACTATCTCATCCTATTGCACTGCAGAGGTGATGAGGTTACTAGCAACTTCTCAACACTTACACAAGAGGAGCAGGAGCATCACTTCATGAATAATTCAAAACTCAGGACATGCTGACACCATCGGACAGGATCTTATGACAGCTTATGTCCACTGTACCCTACATAAAAAAGTAGGCTGCAAATCTGAATTCACTTGTTTTTGCTGCTGGATTATGTGGATGTATTTTCTGCTGTGTGCGTAATAGTTACACTTCAGTTTTTATAAATGTCTGTGGGCTCTGAATTGTAAGAGAAAGAGTACAAAAAAAATACCCATACTGTGTATTTGAGAGTGTGAGTGAGTGACTTTCGGAGAGTGCAGGCATGATGGGAGGCTTGATCTGCAGATTTTATTAGGGTCTGAGGTAAAGCGTGGTGAGACCCACTTATGTGCACCAATGCTATTTGCACAAATAGACACTTGGCGTAGAAATAACAACAATGTTGAGTGGATAGAGATAGAAGAGATAGACTCTTCTGTCTTGGTATAAGATAGAACACAAATGTTCTCTTATTTTTAGGATTTGCACATCATCACTGTCCAATAAAAAACACGCATCTCCAAAAATAGTTTTTTTTTCAGGAACATTAAAAAGCAATTTTATTCATAAACTACCTCACAGTATAAACCCAAAACATTGTTATTAGACAAAATTAGGACCTGAAATAAAATCTATATTTACACAGTCATCAGTGACCTGTTTGATATTTTAAATGTGCTTTGCGTTGGGATTGCTAGCGGACATATGTGTTTTTTTTTTATTTTTTTATAATGCGCTCCAATGATGTTCGGTTATTTACAAGCTTTGAGTATCCTGTTTATGTCCCACTCTGTTGATAAACTATTGATAGTAGGCTATCCTACATTTCCACATAGCAGATTGGTTGTCAACCTTTTTGAGTCGCGACTCCTACTTTAACATGCACTAGTGTTTGCGACCGAGTGTGAAAGAGAAAACAGCAGCAGCTTTGCCTCTGGGGATGAACCTCGGCTCAAGAAATCTAACATACAGGTAAGAAACACTGTCATAGTTAGAAAAAAGTTTTAGGTTGGCATTAGTCAACGTGAGGACATTAGTGTAGCATTACCCTGGACTGAAATGAGTCTGTCACAGTGTAAAGTTTGTTTGCTGACATAACAACGCAGGGTTAGGGTGGGAGATACATGCTTTGTTGACACTTCTGCCACCAAATGGAGACACTTGTTTTAAATATGATGTTATAAAATGTCTTTCCATCGATCAATTGTTAGGGAAGATAATGTACCATGCATTTATTAAAAAAAGTCCAGATCGCTAAGAGTGGAGATTTTTAATGGTTATGTCTTTGTTTAGTTTCCTTTAACAACTATAACAAAAACTAGCCAGCTAACAAACCAGCCTGGTTATCGACTACCTAACCCATTTTTTACCCATATTAGGTCTTCAGCTCCTACTTCTTTTTTTTTTTTTTTTTTTACCAAAATAGGGCCACCCCGGGGTCAAAAAGCAAGAAAACAACAGCCATAATGGTGAATAACGGCTGGAAATTTGGCCAAATTCAATTAGGCGAAGTCTGTTTTGTGTGGGAGAAAATTGAGGTTTTGGTTAAATGTGAACAATAACAGTCTGGACCCATTGCCTTAATGCCAGTCTCTCTAACTGCTTTGGTTTTAAAACAGAAAGGGATCTTTTCCTCAGCTGAACCAGTTTCCATCACCTTAACGTGACCACAGAGGAACATTACGCAGCAAACCCTGGTCTCTGCTGTAACAGCCTTGTGCTTTGTGTTTTTGTTGGACACAGATGTACCTCACGTCCTCTTCTTTACAAAAAACATTTTCCCTCGGAAAGTATTCGGATGAAATTATATTAGTCTTGTATAAATGCAATTTTTACAAGACATTGTCTGACCAGACTGTCTGGGTTTCAGATCAAGGTAAGACTACACCACAG